AATCCATATTTTAATAGTATACAAGTTTTAAGTTCTTAATTCTAAAAGGAAATATGGAAAAAATCCTGAATTTCCACTAGTGTAACACACACATGATAAATTTTGTCTTAGTATGTCATCATCCCTATTTTATCTATCACCCCTCGAAAATGTACAAAAAATGCTCTCTATAAAATGTTATTGCTCAAACAGACCATAATTTTTATGGCCTTCAATTTTGTTTTGTTACAGAGCTATCAAAGAAAATCAGACCCCTCCTGCCACACCCACCTGTTATATCCTCTCTTTTACAATTGGTTGATGGTTCTCTCTTACGTTTCATTATATATTATTTATAACCAATAGAAAGTCAAGGTTTTCATCTATCAAATGGCGCATTATGTTCTCAATAGATAACGGTCAATGTCACTTGGAGTGGCAATTTCCTTCCCATGTGAAAGTTAACGACTATCTTGGATGAATTTGTAATGGCTCTTCTCTCAGAGTTAGAAAGCCAGGAAAATTGTTAGAAGTAAGTGAAGTTGTCTACTTTTTGCATGTTATCAGTCTATATTATTTGGAGTATTATTTAAGTAAATAAAAATTATTAAGTGCTTTACCATAATCACTAAAAAAAAATCAGGCTTAACTCTACTCGACAATCAAGGGCAAGAAAAAAACATTGGGTAAGTACTTTATTTCTTGTTTTTCATATTTATTCTTTATTATTAAAAAGTAACTAAAATTAAAAGTATGGATCTTTTTAAGTTATTTAAGACGAGAATAGATAAAATAAGTAATAATAATATAATTAAAATTGTTCACGAAACAAGCATGCGAGCAGCTCCTTGGTAATGTAATTCCATAGCACGTGAGAGGCGTGTTCCCAAGTGATTTACAACTTATAATGGCAGGGATAGCAGATAGACACGGATCAAAGTGCAATAAAACAAGAAAATTTAACTATAAGTGGATGTATAATGTTACGAACTTAGAGCTACCTAGGATAAACAAATGTAGTTTCAGGTTACAATCTGAAGTCACTCTAGAAAGAAAAAAAGGTTAATTTAGATTTACTTCGTATTTTTTTTTTTTTGGTTGTTACCAGGCTGGTCAAATTATTTGCTCCAGTTTTGAGATTAGGGTAGAGAATATAACAAATAAACTATAAAGATTTAGTGGAAAAGAAAAAAACACGTTTGAAATGTATTTAGGGGGTTTTAGGGATTACACAAAAGAAATTTGAGAAGATAAAAGTATTTTTTTAATTTTAACATGAAAATTACTTTGCACTCGGACTATTCAAAACAAATACTCAATATACTCATGGACAAAATTTTGTTTTAGTAAAAGTACTTCACTAAGAAATATGACTTTTTATATATGAAATACTTGTAATATTAACTGAAAGGCTGCCAAATTTTGTGAAGATATACCCAATATATAGAGAGTTATAAGTATTAAATTTATAAACTTTAAATAAGTACAGAAGGTCACGTGGCTCGGTCAAATTGACCGACTCTATGTTGGAAGAGTTAAGTATTTTTCGGAATATAAGACACGCCAGTGTATAAGATGCACCCTTATTTTAAAGACTAAGTTTTGGGGGGAAAAAAGCTACAGTAGCATTTGAAAGATTTTTATTAAACAAAAATTCAGTTTGATACTGTTACGTCTCCCCTGTGTTAATTGATTTTCCATAAATTTGTTCCGACGAAACTTTAGCGACACAAGTCCTTACTTAATAAAACTGGTTTATTCTTTCCGAATATAACTTCACGATACACTTAATTTCAACAATCGCGCTAAAACAAACGCTATAACAACGAACGTTAACTTCAACAATACGTCTCCCTCTGACTGCAGTTCAATTACTCATTACCTACACACACATTATTCCGTCACGTTGTCACCCCTCTTTTATAT